GATGTTAATAATGTTAATGACAATTACTATATACTATTATATGTAACATTTAAAATGTATAAAGTGGGGGACAGTTGCCCTCGGTTGACCCTAACCCTCAGGCAGCCTGTGTGCGGCATTGCTGTATTTTTATAGTAAGCTAAAGTTAGCGTAAGGGCCGTACCTGGGTTTATTCATTTAAAAAAAGACAGACAATGTCAAAAAGGGTGTGTACCTGACCTGCTCAAGAGAACAAAGGATGTCTGTGCCTTCCCAACTGAACACCATTTAAGATAATAGCAGGTATTTAGAGCTGAAGGGAATTGCAGAAGAGTAATAGTTGTAGTAGAATAAGTGGTAGACGTATGAAAGCACTGAGCACACATGAAGTACAGAACATCCTGCTGATGTATATAACGTTGCTGCTGTAGATGAATATTCTGTGCAGTTTGGAGGTGGAGATGTTGCGTTGCCTCAGGTGATGTTCCATCCAACCAGAGCTCTGTACAACGGGGCCTATTACATTCTTACATCAAAACTGTCTCTCCTGATTGAATTTCCGTGCATGCCAAATGTCAGTCTTATTCAGTGAAAACTCTCCACGGCAACATTTTGAATATTGAGGCATGACCGGACATAGCTAAATTGAAAATTGAAAAAACTGCAATAGGTTAATGCTTTTCAAACTTAAAGGGGACCTATCATGCAAAATGCACTTGTGTACGTCTTTTATACATGAATATGTGTCCCCGGTGTTCAGTGGCGGAGCTGGGGGGTGGCTGGGAGTGGCCACGGCTACCCCCAGCTGAATCCTGGCCACCGTATCGGCCACCCCAAACACCCTCACCACGGAGGCCCAAACTATTTTAGAACATTAAGAAAAAAAACGTTATGTAACCATCATCATCATTCATCAAGAATTAACATTAATAGGACGTTATATTGATAATGTACTCACTGAACTTATAATTCATTTAACTTATTTTCTTCCAAAAGTTAATTACCCAAAGCCTCTGACACCCCCTTCTATTTACATGTAATGGTTTGGTCCTGCCTCCAAACGCGGTGCAGCACCGCCGGCACTTTCTAGCAGAGAGGGAGAGCATGTGAGGAGCAGGGATGCTTGTACTTACGTGTGTACGATGTCTCAACGACTCACAAAGTCAGGCTTTCATAAAAGAAAAGAAAGGAGAGAAAGACAAGCGAGAGGGACTAAAGGGCGACAGTATGTCACCCAGTTTTTCAAAGAAAAGGTGGGTGTGGTCCATGAGTGGTAGAAATGTGTCTGTTAGCTACACGTAGTCCATTGTAAATAATAATTGTTGTGTTTTTTTTTTACTAAGCTGACATTAAGTACTGTTAATATCTATACATGTGTTTAATTTCACTCCTCTTTCAGCTGACATTTAGTAAATGCAGGTACATCTTTAGCAGCTATTCATACTAAATCAGTTGTCCCTCCCCCTGGAGCCAGGACCAACAGATCCATCTCTAGGCTCAGCAGTCCTGTCCCCCCATAAGTGTTATATGTTCACAGCTCAGTGTCAGTAAATATTGTGCAGTTAGTATTGGACTACAAGATTGATGCAAGCCTGTACAGGTAGAGTTATTTAAAGCATAAATGAGTCTGTTGGGTTCTGGAGGTGTGGTTACAGCAATTGTACTTGGTTGGCGTGGCCTGGGCCTGGTGGTGGGGCCCAATGTGATATATTTCCATGGGGCCCAAAATCCCTGGTGTGTAAACACATTGACTCAATAGCATTGTGAGGCTGAACAAAAGGACCTTTTGACTATGTAAATGTATAGTCTTTTTTAAAAAACAAAACATTTACTGACTTTTTTTAGGATAGCTTCAAGTAAAATTACAACCGGGGGCCTTACAGAGTTAAGGGCTATTGTTTATTGTTATTTACTTTAATATGTTTATTCTTAACCTATTTAATTTAAAACTCTTATTTAAATGATGTGTGTGTCTCTGTATTCCTGATGATACACTGAGAGAATGAGCCCATGGCTGCTGATCACCATAAGCTAAACAGTCTGTATATTGCATTACATTTGTATAATGTAAGCTTCGTTGATACTGTGCCTGCAGGAATACGAAAAAAAATACTTTTCCTCCATACCCAAATCTCTAAAAACGGGGCTGCAACGGATCTGATCCAGATTTGAATTATTTTCTACGTCACAGAAGTGGTGCTCCGCCTATATGGCCAACTCTCCACCTATCAGGGGAATGCGGGGTTGGGCCACAGCCGGCCATTGCCGCTCGAAAGCGCTGGAGACGCTGTAGTACATATGCCAGGCCTGTAAGTGGCGCTGTAGTCTGCCACAAAAGCAGCGAAGAAGACTTCCCGCGCATGGTTGCCATGGTTGCCCTTCTGTTTATTCTCCGCTGTGGCTATTTTTCTCCCTCCCTGAGGCAAGCGTGTGCTCCTGCTGTAATTCTCTCCGGTAGTCAACCAGCAGATGACAAACACCCACCTCTCCGCCTCTTCCAAGGAACGAGGGGACCGTGCGGCAGAGTTTCAGTTAGATTTTTTTCCGCCGGTCAAGATGTCCATTAAAGATTAAATCTTCCGGACAATATACAATATATATATTTATATAGGTATGGCCCTACAATATATTGTTCAAATATAGCATGATAGGTCACTTTTAAGATCTCAATGAACACAGGTGAAATTATCCCTGTTCTAAAATACAGTTAGCAATACGTTACTTTGAGCACATGAACTTGCTACTCAACATTACACTGCAAGCTAACCTGCTGAACTTGTAGAAGATCAGACACAGCAGAAGTAAACGTATCATTCGGGAGGGGAGAACCGATCCGATGAAACCCCCCGGGGCAGTGGCGGACTGGCCATCGGGATGTTCGGGATGAAGTGGGCCGGTCGTCTGAAGTGGGCCGATCAGATAAGTCACTAGCGGTATTTACTTGCGGTACCGAGGTGGGCCAGCGGTAACGAAGTGGGCCGGTCGAGAGTCCCGGGCTGATTTTTAGTCCCAGTCCGCCCCTGCCCCGGGGCCTAGACACTGGTGGTGGTGAATGGATAGTTGGGTTCGGTCTGAAGCAGTGGCGTTTTCTCCCGGAGGCCAAGGGAAGCCAGGCTTCCCCTGTTTTTTCGGATTGTAGTTATAATTTAAATAAATAAATAAAAACACTTTGTTTTGTTTCGATAATTCTCCTTTGCTGTGTGTTGCTGCCGGCCCGTCTCTCCCCCATTCTCATTGAGTATTTTACAAAGAGTGAAACAGCGCCCCTCTAGATGTTATGGTGAAACAGTAGATTGCACTCACTGTTGCGAGAGGAGGCCAGCCGAATCTGGCTTCCCTTGGTGAAAAAAAATTGAGGGATTGACCAATCAGATGAGGCTCACGTGATGCCCCTGCCAATCTGTGATTGGTCAGGGCCATGCCAAGGGAAGCCAGAGGCCGCTGGCTTCCCTTGCCTCACAATCCAATCAAATCGCATCAATTTAGTGTTGCAGTGACGTGTCCTAATTTCTCTCGTGTTTCCCTCGACAAAAAAGCAATGGGATTTCTCCATAGGATTTAGGAAAATAGCTCGAAATAAGGTCAGTGGAAAACGAACCTGTTAGATAAATGCAAGTTTTGTTCAGTCGGATAATATCCACATGTCTACCCTACTTTTATAATTTTCTAATCATAAATCTAATCGATAGAAGATAGATAGCGTCACTGCACCACTCTCACCGCCGTTAGAAAGTAGCAAGCAACTGAAGCAAGTGCAGTTATGGAGGGTGGAGATTTGGAGTATTTCATCAAAAATAATTGTACCAAACTTCCGCTACAGCAGCAACAACATACAATCTGATGACAGGCCAATTACATTACATTACATTACATTGCATTTAGCTGACGCTTTTATCCAAAGCGACTTACAATAAGTACATTCGACCAGGAAGACACAACCTTGAAGAAAACAGAATCATATAAGTACATCAGGTTTCATAGAGCCAAACATTTCAAGTGCCCAAACTGGAGTTGTGTACAGCGAGGAAAGAAGGAGCAAATCGAACATAAAACGTTAAAGGTCTCCTGATTTAGTTTGTGAATGAACGCTTATTAGAGTTTGGGCTGGAGAGTGCGTGCGGACCTGTCGGTTAGATAACAGGCGTGTGTAAGTCCTGCATCTGATACAAATGTGTGTAAAATGATACCGGGTGCTGTAATCACTCATCTGGTTACGTTATCACATTGACCACCACACCCCCGACCCAAAAGAAAGGACGTATTATTGGCTTCCCCTAATTGTTTTCCCCACGCCACGCTACTGGTCTGAAGGGGAGGGGCTTAGCTTGACCCTGGTGGTGGTGGTGGTGGTGAATGGATAGTTGGGTTCGGTCTGAAGGGGAGTTGCTTAGCTTGACCCTGGATTCAGAGGGACAGGAGGTGAAAAGGGGGGAGGAGGGTTGCTAGAGTCCCCTTAAATGACAGCTGTCAGAGGGGAGAGCAGACTGGAAAGGTTTGGCAGAGCGCTATGATAGGCTTGTGAGAATAGAGCGAAGTGATTGGTTAAACTGGGGAGTGACGCCCCCGATCACTTATTGAGAGGAGAGAGTAGTTAAGTGGAAATAGTAAATGAATGAGTAAAGACGGTCTTCCTGCTGGTTGAACTTGCGCTGATGTGTTTGAGAAGCTGTGTGTGTGATTGCATGAACGCATGGATGCAGCTAATGCAAATTCTGATATGTGTTATTAAGTGAACGTTTTTGGGATGAGATTTATGTTAACACATGGTGCTTGTTTATATCAACAATACGTGATTGATGAACCAACAGATATTTATCTGCAGCTTTATTGAGCTTTTTAATCGCTTTTAGTTATTTGGTTTAACAGCACTTTATGGTCGCTCCCTAAGACATCAACACTGTTTTTTTAGAAAACAAGCTCTGATAAAGACTGCAGACAAAGTAACTAACATATAATCAAAGTAACACATCCAGCATTAAGAGAAGAGCCAGGAGTAAAAAGGAAGGACAGAAACTCTCCAACATGTTGTTTGTGTCTGTTTATCAGAGGTTGCTTTGCACTTGTGACAAAGTCATTTACACTCAGCTGCATATTTCTTACTCAGATTTTCTTTATATCAACTTGTTGTACGGCCAATAGAAAGGGGGAAGTTTGTACCTTGAAATCAAACGTATCAAAAATACGGCAAAAAAGATAGAACACATATTTCCGTCTGATCCTTTCTAACTGTAGAAATGTGCTAAAACTCAGCCTACTTTCTAGCAGCGCTGCAGATAACAACAGCCTCTAAATGAAAGATTCCTGTACCACAGTCTCAGACCAAACACAGTACGAGACGTGAAACGCCTTCATCGCGCCACTCAAATCAAATTCTTATATCAGATACCAGCAAACATCAAGAATTGGTTGTTGCAAAAAATAATAACTTAGAAAAACCCTCTTTTCGATTATATCCAATCCTGTTCTTGATCATAGTTCAATCAAGTGTTAAAAACAGCTCTATTGCATAAAGTCCATGATAAAGATATAACTGCCCAATATTAGCCAAAGCACTGTGACATCAACACAGCAAAATAAGCCTTAACGGTACGTCCACACGGCAGCGTCGCTTCAACGGAGACGCTTCCCATTCACTTTGAATGGGGGTGACGTCACGCTTTGCCGAACTGCATTCTGGTTCCGTCGTTGCTCGCTTCGAAAGTTGAGAAATGTTCAACTTTTCAAGCGTCGACGGAAGCGCCAGCCAATCAAATCATATGCCAGTACAAGCGTTAGCCAATCAAACCGCGTGCTTGTGTGTCCGGGGCGGGAGGTTAATGTGATTGGTTGTTGGTCGCACGCCAGACACTCCCACCGACGCTGCCGTGTGGACGTACCGTAACGGCCCGTCCACACAGCGGCGTGCGTTAACGCTTCACCATTCACTTTGAATGGGGTGACGTCACTTTTCGCCGAACTGCATTGTGGGAAGCGACGCGGAGCTTTGCTGGCGTGGCTCGCTGCAAAAGTTTAACAATGTTCAACTTTTGAAGCCTCGGCAGAAGCGCCAGCCAATCGAATCATATGCCAGTACAAGCTCTAGCCAATCAAACCGCTGCTTGTGTGTCAGGGGCGGGAGATTCATGTGATTGGTTGTTGGTCGAGTTTCAGACACGTCCGTCGGCAAGCTTCAACGCGACGCTTCCGTGTGGACGTACCGTAAATATGCAACAAGCTGCATCTTTAATATTCATACGGTCTGCTCTTAAGACTTATTACATTCAACTTCTAGCTGAATGACTTGCAATATATACAATATATGAAAAGGCAGAAATATATATATATATATCTATCAGTAAGTTTCCTGAACAACAACTCACACACATTCCTCGGCTATCAGCCACAACATATTTGGAACGACAAGAATTTGTTTTTGGTCACAATCAGCAAAACAAGTCCATTTTTGGGTGTGCTCATGAGCTTTCCATAAAGTCATTAGGAGTCACAATCATTGAGTTTTTGTTTTGTGACTAACAAATCCTTAAGGCGTGGAATAGTTGATTTGCAGGTTTAATCAAATCAAGGAATATTGGCTTAAATTTGATGACATGTTTTAAAGAAAGGACTTCTATTTGAGGTATAACTCTTGTTTTAAGATTTAATGACTATATTTCAATATGTATCAAGTCTTGACTAATATACAGTATATTAAACTATTTGACATAACTGAGATGTCTTTTTTTAACCAAATTTAGCCCAGCTTTCTAGTAGTCGTGCACCTGCAATGATCAACTTGTTGCTTATTGCCCAGTAAGACATATTCCCTCATAAATTGTTGTTTAATTGAGTTGATTCATTTCTAATTTAGCTCTATTTGTGCATGAGGGTTAGGGTTCATATTTGACTTTATAAAGAGCTCATGGTTTCCACTAGAAGCTTTGTTCACTCTTTTTTCCTTGACTGCAGTCTGTCCTATAGTTCCTCTTCATGGGGGGTGCAGAGGGGCGTCAGTACTCTGTCGTTTTCACGTTGACGGAGGACAGACTCTTCCCCATGCTGTGGAAGAGAGGCGTGATGAACATGTCCGTCAGACTCCTCCAGACCACCTGCAGCGAGGGCAGCAGCATCAGGAAGCCCTGGAGCGCCGGCATCAACAACCTGCAGGAGAGAGGGGGCAAAGGTCACTTCAGAGCAGATGCTGATACGATAACACTTTAATGGTCAGATCAAGTCTGAAATGTGACTTGCATCACAGCAGCTCCATGTGCAACATAGACAAATATCAAGACACAATTTAAAACATTCAACATAACATCACAATCACGGAGATCGCTGAGGTATGATACTCTCAACACATGCAACTAATGAGGCGAGTAGTTTACTTTTCGTGCTTTTGTTGGATTAAATCTTCACTCTTTTTAAGGAAGACCTTGTTCTTCAGGTTTTAATGTTGTACCATCAATGTTGAAAAAGCATAGTTGTAGTAAAGTGAGAGTTGAAAGAAGATATCAATTCACGTAATGCTTTGAAAGTCCACCCTGTGTCCTGCTGCCTGAAGAAGCTGTATATGTGAATTTGAATGACTGTAATTGAACTTTTCTTGCTTGTGTTTACTCAAAGTATCAGCTGCATACACATGATTACACTTTAAACTTTGAGCGCAGTGCTCGGGAAATATTTCGCTCTCCATAGAAATAGTAAATGGACTGTACTTATAAAGTGCTTTATGCAGTCTTTTTGACCCCTCAAAAGCACTTCACATACTACGAGTCATTCACCCAATCACACCTCATTCACGCAGAGCTCTAGGAAGCTAACATTCACACACCGTTAGCCATCGGGAGCAACTCAGGACACCTGACATGTTGACTGCTCGGGCCGGGATCGAACCAACAACCTTTTGGTTGAAAGCCGACCACACTCCCTCACAGCCAGAGTCGCCCTACAACGGTAACATCACAATAGTAATGTCAGCACAGAACCGTTTTACTACGATGTGAATGCAGCTTAAGGCTTGCATTTTGAGGTTTTATGAAGGTACCATCAATGGTCCACTGTTGTTACCTGACCTTATAAGCTACACTGCAACAAGGAAGGCAACTGAGTTCCAGCAATAGTTGAGATGATAACACATAACTTTTATCATGGGAATTCAATAAGATTTCAATCTAAAGCACCCTTTGGTTACTAAAGAATGCAGCTGACGGTCAAAGCTAGACATGTTAAATCCAGAGTGAAGTCAACCCTTGTATATCCTCAAAGCAGTATCTTTGAATCATAAATGGCTCTTTAAATGGTTAGAGTGGGTGTTTTCTTTCCTAAAGTACATCATGGGATGCATGATTATTTTTAGCATCTATTTTCTGGCTGCTGCACCCCTACCTGTTTCTGTTTTGATAATACATGTATGTTTCGGCAAAATCTGAACTTTGTCTCAGATAATCATTTAGATAAAAGGAAAATACCTACAGTAGCTTGAAGCTAAAACAGCATGACCCAGATAAGACTATTTTTGGTGCATTTTCACACAAAAGACACCATTTTTTTATGCCGTTAGAGGGTTTTAAATAACTCTTTGATTAATATTGGGCACAGTTTTCCTTAGAAATGTTTCAAATTCATATCTGGCATTAGTTTGATCTTATCACCTGCTGTTATTGTCTTATCAATAGAGAAGAAGAAGAGAAACTGAATCGCATTGTTACATTCCAGCAGCTTGTGACCTTTTCTCCAATATATTAAATAAATAAAAAGACGTGTTGGGACATTTTTGAAGTGTGTGAAGTCCCTTCCTCACATTCCTCATGTATTGACATCTGAGCGTCACCACTCAGGCTCTATTGATGAATACCTGCAGAAGATTCCTCCTTTAAACTCCTCACGAGCGTGTGACCTCACCTGGGTGAAAGGTCACACTCTGCAGCTCTCTCTATCTGCATCTGAAGAATGTCACACTCCTGTCTTTAAATAATAAGTCTGTGCTGCTGCTCAGATGCGAGCTATCCTGCAAAGGGCACGGGGCGTTTTTATTTTCCACTACCACTGGAACTCTAAATTCCTCCCAACTTTCCATAGAGCGCATGGGTACAAATGTTGTTTCACTGAGTGTTAATAAAAGGGACTCTTTGGGCTGTGGTGGGGAATATGTAAGCATGTATTGGATGACCTGCAGGCACCTGGTTTACCTTGCATGACATCATTATCCAAAATAAAGGTATAGAAAGAAGACGCTGACAAAATGTTTCAAACGTCATACTTAACTTCTGAGAGAAGAGCCAGAACAAGTTTGCTGGTATTAGCAGAGGCCCCTGAGGACAAGTCGCATAGAGCTTCTGTAATGTTCCCACAGACACTGAAAAATGTTGAGTTTGAAGCACGCAAAACAGGGCTTTTAAGTGTTGTGATTTTTTATTTGTGTCTCCGTAACAAGTCAGGAAGTTGTAGATCCCTTTTCTCTTCTCTTTGAATCTTTTGTATCCAGTGCTCGGGAGCATTTAACAAGATGTCATTAAACGACAACATTAACTAGATGTTGCTGTGTCTTGCTGGTTGTTCAACGACATTCATATTTGGGTCGTAATTTAAAGAGGCCCTATTCTTTTTTGGGGTTTTCCTGAAATTGGACTCCTTTGTTTACTTCTGGAACATAGTGACATCACTATGTAACACTTGTGATATATCGCTCAAACACATTTTACGTGATAGGCTAAGGGGCGGGACATCTCTAAGCGGTTGACCAATCACAACAGAGCCGGCCAGCAAACCAATCAGAGCAGACTGGGCTCTGGTTTCAGACAGAGGGTGGAGAGGTGCTGCAGCACAGGCAGTATGAGAAAAATAAAGAGCTTTTTGAGTATTAGATCCTAATTGACCTCATTTAGTACTTATGTCGTACATCACTCTAATATAATACGTCTGTTTACTATAGTAGCCTATTTGTGTACATATTTATTTGCTGTAATGTGACTTTTTTCTTACTTGATGTCAATTTCATCAAGTCGTTTGAACTACTTTGTCTAAGTATTGTCATTTAGTTAACACAGCTTGCAATGTTATATATGTATAGGTTTTGCTTATAATACTGCCATCACTCTGATTTGTTTGTATACTATTTTGGGGGGAAATGAAGCCTAAAAACTATAATAACTTATAAAAACACTGGGCACTGCCAGAAGATCCACAGAAACATCACACTTATCAGAAAGCTGCAGGTTTTGAGGAGCTTCTCCTACCAGATGTGGATGCAGCTGAGCACCGCGAACACCAGGCCGAGGATGAACGCCATGGGCACGGCCAGCAGAGTGCTGAGCAGCCGGTAGAGCATGAATTTCACCAGCTCAAACACGGCGTGGCTTCCTATCCACACTTTGTCGAAGCTGTGTGTGGAGATGGGCTCCGCGATGACATCTTCAAAACCAACCTGTCAGATCACACAGTGGCACACACAGTGAGCTAAAACCACTACCATGGCTTTATGAGGGTTTTTACGCGACTTCCAGGTGTTCAAGCTGCACATAACCGAGTGTGTTAGACACAATATGACCTCATTAGTAAGTTAATGTAGAAACATAATCTTGGCAATCGCTACTTTGTCACTAAGTTCCACTTTCTAAGCCCGCACATTGATGATAGTTTACCTTCAGCTGAGCGTTAATATCGTTCGGATCTCGGTCCAGTTCCGCTTCGTACAGCTTCCCCTTCTTCAGAATGGGCTCTATGGATCTGTTGAACTCGTCGTCGTCGTCGTCCATAAACACACTGGTATCCATGTTTTCCTTCTCCAGACCCATGTTGCCGGGCTGTCGGTGCAGGAGAGCTGCTGTGACGGTGCTCTGTGCGCCGCACTGAGTGCCACCCCGCCCCGTATGGAAAGCAGCGCCGCGGGGGGCCGTGGAGACACAAGAACCAGCCCAGAGTCAGAGTCACTGCACCGGGACACTCAGGAGCTGACTGCCGCTACTGTGGAGCACCAGCCTCCAGGCATTAGCCAGGGACACCAAGGAGTCCCTGTGATGAATACACAAAGCCTCTCCATGTGATGAAGCATGAAAACCAGCAGGCTGCCTTATTTACACTGGTGGAAAGAGGTGGAAGAAGTACTCAGATCCTTGTACAAAAGTAGAAGTACTCAGATCTTGTACTTGAGTAAAAGTAGAAGTACTCAGATCATGTACTTTAGTAAAAGTAGAAGTACTCAGATATTGTACTTGAGTAAAAGTAAAAGTACTCAGATCATGTACTTTAGTAAAAGTAGAAGTAGGCTACTCAGATCTTGTACTTGAGTAAAAGTAGAAGTACTCAGATCATGTACTTAGTAAAAATAGAAGTACTCAGATCTTGTACTTGAGTAAAAGTAGAAGTACTCAGATCTTGTACTTGAGTAAAAGTAGAAGTAGTCAGATCTTGTACTTGAGTAAAAGTAGAAGTACTCAGGTCTTGTACTTGAGTAAAAGTAGAAGTACTCAGGTCTTGTACTTGAGTAAAAGTAGAAGTACTCAGGTCTTGTACTTGAGTAAAAGTAGAAGTACCAGAGTGTAGGAATACTCTGTTACAGTAAAAGTCCTGCATTCAAAATGTTCCTCAAGTAAAAGTAGAAAAGTATTAGCATCAAAATATCGTTAAAGTAGCGACAGTAAAAGTAGTCATTGTGCAGATTGGTCCATTTCAGAATAATATGATATGTTTTATTATAATGATTGATCATTAAAGTGTTATCAAGCTGGTAAAGGTGCAGTAAACCATTTACCTCTGAATTGTGGTGGAGTAAAAGCACAAAGCAAAACAAAATGAAAGTGCAAGTCTCTCAAAATTAAGTGCAGTATGAGTAAAAGCATGCTGGAAAATAGTTAAGTATATTAACTCGAGTACCACACACTTGAGACATAATTGTAATATACTTGAGTATTTACATTTTATACCTTTTTACTTCTACTCCACTTCAGTTTTAGCCACATATTGTACTCACTATTTATTCAACACTCAAATTAACACCCACAAGTTTATTTTCACGACAATTTGTAACCATATAAGCCGCGTTGTTATTGCTGCTTATCTGCACAGTTCTACCTGTTGAGTGGATTTACCGCACACGTTCCTTTTGGGCTGCTTGGAGTCTCTGGCTGTTTCATGAACACATCAGCCAACATTGTTAGAATAACTGCAGCTCCTCAGAAGCCCAAACAGGAACCACAACAGGAAGAGGTTTTCCTCAGGCAGCTTCACAAGGAGACGAAGAGGACGGATCTGATCCGACCCACGACCTCTCACAACATATATGTTTATGATGTTTCTCAACATGATATCTGACTGTGATTGAAGAAGGTTTAAAAAGGTCCTGTTATGCTTTTTGGGGTTTTCCCTTTCCCTTTAGTGTGTTAAGGTTTCTGTGCATGTAAATGGTCTGCAAAGAAGTTTCTCTCACACCCTAACCCTGCCTGCCCGGAAATGCCTCCATTTGTCTCCTTTGTTACTTCCGTCACACTAGGTGACATCACAAATATTCAAGAGACTCCACAGTAGAAAACTGATGATTATGTTGGGGATCCTCTGACCTTTCCGTCAGTCAAAATACATATTTATTGTCCCTGAGGATATTTTCTTTTTTTTCACAGAAGAAAAAACTAAAACAATAGCACGACTAGGGTTGGGAACCGAAACTCGGTTCCAGATGAGAACCGATAAGAAAATGTCGGGTACCGGGTACCCATACAAAATACACAATTTCGGTTCTGCTTAACGGTTCCTAAACACGGTAGACCCTGTATTCCAGCGGGTCCGTCTGCACCGCGGTGCTGCGGTGACCCGGTGGAATACAGGGCGGACCTGGAGAATCACAGAACGGCCGGTCGTCAGCGGGCCGTTGACGGCCGGCTCGGTACGCTGACGGCCGGCACCGCCCTTCATTTTTTTAAAACGGCATCATATAAATTGTCGCTGACAGGCGACAGAGGTCCACAGTTGCCCCGCAGCGATGCTCCCCGCCCTCCGTAGACATTTCACGAGCTCAGTCACTTCATAACACCAAAGATAGGTCGCGTGAAACACTCTGAAGTGAGGCTCCACTACACTAAAAGAAGAAAAAGAAAAGGCAAAGTGTAATGCCTGTTAATAGCTTGCCACAGGCGATAGCTCAGTTAAAATAGAAGCACAGCTATTGTGCAATACATTTGTATTGCATGTATATTTTTTAGTAACAATTTCAGTTAAAGCTTTTAAGAATAAATATATTTTTGTTATCTAAACGTTGACCTCTTTATTTTACAATTTTGGAATCGAAACGGGGAATCGATAAGAACCGGAATCGATAAGCAGAACCGGAATCGAAATCGGAATCGATAAATTTCAAACGATACCCATCCCTAAGCACGACTCTAAAAGGCAGGTGCAAACAAATTGAAATCAGGACAAAACACAGGTTGGTACAGACAGGCTTAAGCTATAAAGCTAAGGCTCATGGCACGAAGACAATCTGGAAGTAAAGTGTTGTAGTGAAGTTACTACTGCGCCGACGCTTCGGAGCGTGGTTTGAGTAATCCAGGAAGTTTTTGGTGAAGCGTGAATCGAGGCTTGTATCGTTTTAGGCCAGTGACGTCATCGATGACAAACGAAGCCTCGCTGCCCGTCGATACCACGTGACTGCTTCAAATAAGTCATGAGTAAAATAATGTATGAATAAAAACACGATAAATAAATAATAATAAGGCAATAAATACAGGAATAAATAAATAGACAAATAAATAAATGTGGAAATAGATGTATTTATTCTAGTCCAGTGTGTTTTTCCAGTGCAGCTCCATCTCTGCAAAAATATTTGTCTTAGTAAAAAGCCCACCTGCATGCATCGTCCGTCCTTTGCATCTCATTTGTTGATGCGGCATGTCGAGCATCCTGCGTATTCATGAGCAATCTGTAAACAACTCCCTTTTGTTTAGAAACCAGGGTCTGACATCCGCAGAGACAATGAGTGACAGCAAAGCAGAACAGAACCGATGCATGCTGGGTATTCACAGTGATAGGGGGGATCCCTGGCTCAGAGAAAAGCAACAATACAACAGCACAATACTGGTGGATTAACACAGAGAAGGATTCTGACAGACAAGCATTCAGAGAGGCTGTAGCCTGAGGGGGAGATAGATAGATGGATAGATGGATAGATGGATAGATAGATGGCTCG